ACCAGGGCTGGCCACGGTGCTCCCAGCAATCAGAGACCTCAACCCTTGCAGCCAGCTAAAACACCTGAAACTGCTTATACTGGTGGTATTTAAGGGATGGCCAGACCTGCAGAACTCTGCCTTGGTTGTGTGTTTTTCCTGGGCCCTGTTTATCCTGTTTCCCTGCATCCAGTTTCTGTTCCTGTTCCTGTCTTGTTGCTGACCCGGCCTGAATCTGACCTCTGCTGACTTCTCCTGCTCTGACCCCGGCTCGTTCCTGACCATCGAAATCCTCTGCCTGACCCTCTGTACCTCGCTGTCTGCTACCTGCTGTAACCTGGCTTGTGACCCCGACCATTCCCTACTTGCTCCCCCTGTTACCTACACAGCCCGATTGATATTGACCCTGCCTGCCTGACGACGCTTGCATTGTAACATGTACTGTTATCTGTGGGTGGTTGGTTTGGTTTGTTTGCACTGTATTATGTTTAGTATGGCACTGCGTTTATGTTTGTATTGTTAGTATTAATAAATTATATCGTTTATAACATATCTGGAGTCTGCGTTTCCCTGCGTCAGTCACACACCTCTGGTCATACCCGGGAGCCCTGACAACCCGCAAAGAGACATCCCAATCCAGCAAAGAGACAGTCCAGTCCAAGAAGGGACATCCCCATCCAGCATAGAGACATACCGTCTTTGCTATATGGGATGTCTCTTTGCTAGATTGGGCCATCTCTTTGAATATATAGGGGCATTGTGATTAGATCTCTAGGGGCTCTGTAATCTAAAGGGGCACTGTGATATAAAGGGGACTGCGCTGTAAAGGGCCACTATAATAAATACAGTGCCCCTTTATAGTGCAGTCCCCTTTATATCACAGTGCCCTCTTATATTACAGTGCGGAGGACCGACTTCGTGAATATTCCGTCACCCCGTGAATGCCTTTGGATCGCCCCCCCCCCCCCCCCCGAAATTGGCTGCTCAGTCTAAAAGGCCTGAGCCTATTTTTTGCCCCAGTCTGGGCCTGGTAGATGCTATAACTTTCAGGTAAACCAATGAAAAATTTTTTTTTACTGGACATGTTTTATATCAAATATTGTTGGTCTTTTTTTTATAGCGTAAAAAATAAAAAAATGCACAGGTGATCAAATACCACCAAAAGAAAGCTCTATTTGTGGGAAAATTGAAATTGAATTTGGGTGCAGCGTTGCATGACTGCTCAATTATCAAAGTAATGCAGCGCCGTATTGCGCCTGGTCAGGAAGGGGGGAAATCCTCTGCAGGGTGAGGGGTTAAAGTGGAGCTCCACCCAAAAGACAAAGTTCCACTTTAAGGCTTCATCCCCTGCTCCCCGTTCAGGATTGGCACCTGTCAGGAGCGGGGGGGGGGGGTTTGGTGGACCCCGCATTCACTATGTCTGCCTCTCCCTGGACCCCGCATTCACTATATCTGCTCCGGACCCTGCATTCACTATATCTGGTCTCCCTGCATGGACCCTGCATTCACTATATCCGCTCTCCCCGCATTCACTTATTCGGACCCCTGCATTCACTATATCTGGTCTCCCTGGACCCCGCATTCACTATATCCGCTCTCCCCCCCGGACCCTGCATTCACTATATCCGCTCTCCCCGGACCCCGCATTCACTATATCCGCTCTCCCCGGACCCTGCATTCACTATATCCGCTCTCCTACGGACCCCTGCATTCACTATATCCTCTCTCCCCAGCCCCACATCTTCCCCGGACCCCACGCATCACTATATCCGCTCTCCCTCCCCGACCCTGCATTCCCAATATCCGGTCTCCCCGGACCCCGCATTCACTATATCTGCTCTCCCCAGGACCCTGCATTCACTATATCCGCTCTCCCAGACCCGGACCCTGCATTCACTATATCCGCTCTCCCCCCGGACCCCGCACTTATCCGCTATATCCATTCTCTCCCCGGACCCCGCATTCACTATATCCGGACCCTGCATTCACTATATCTGCTCTCCCCGGACCCCGCATTCACTATATCCGCTCTCCCCCCGGACCCTGCATTCACTATATCCGGTCTCCCACAGTACACAGAACATGGAAATACAATTGTTTTAGTAAATATAAACTGCTAAATTCCTTTTCTCACTGATCCACACACCGCTCCAGGATCATCGTTATAGTAAGGCAATCACATTCCATATACAGGGCCCGTGCTTTGCCTTTCATTACACAGTGTGGTGACAATTTGGAGCCTGTATTGGGTTGACTGGTTTATGCTGCTGGGGACGATACTGCCATCTTGTGCCTTAAGAAGTACATTGCTGGATGTTCACCATACGTGGTTCGCAATGCACCTCCGGAATGTGAGTGCATTTCTTATGCTTCATTGTGCAATAAAAGATTTAACCAATTCAATACCGGGCACTTTCCCCCCTTCCTGCCCAGGCAAGTTTTTAGGTTTCAGCGCTCTCACATTTTGAATGACAATTGCGCGGTCATACAACATTGTACGCAAACTAAAAATTTATAATTTTCTTCACACAAAAAGACTAGAGCTTTCTTTTTTTCTGTGGTATTTAATCACCGCCAGGGTTTTAGAATATTTTTTTAGCTAAATTAACAAAAAAAGACTGAAAATTTTGGAAAAAAAAACAACGTTTTTCTTTGTTTTTCTGTTATAAAAGTTTGCAAATAAATAATTGTTCTTCATAAATTTAGGCGGAGATGTATTCTGCTACATGTCTTTGGTGAAAATTACCCAAATTAGGATGTATTATTTAGTTTGTAGGAAAGTTATAGAGTTCACAAAAGCTATGGTATAGATCTGAATATTGATCAATCCTGAAGTACTGACAGCCAATCTAATTTTGACAGTTGAGGCCAAAAAAATCACCCAATGTCAGAACAGTACAGATACCCCCCAAATGTCAGAACAGTACAGATATCCCCCAAATGGAAACACCTCAGAACAGTACAGATATCCCCCAAATGTCAGGACGGTACAGATATCCCCCAAATGTCAGAACAGTACAGATATCCCCCAAATGTCAGAACAGTACAGATATCCCCCAAATGTCAGGACAGTACAGATATCCCCCAAATGTCAGAACAGTACAGATATCCCCCAAATGTCAGGACAGTACAGATATCCCCCAAATGTCAGAACAGTAATAGATATCCCCCAAATGTCAGGACAGTACAGATATCCCCCAAATGTCAGAACAGTACAGATATCCCCCAAATGTCAGGACAGTACAGATATCCCCCAAATGTCAGAACAGTACAGATATCCCCCAAATGTCAGGACAGTACAGATATCCCCCAAATGTCAGGACAGTACAGATATCCCCAAAATGTCAGAACAGTACAGATATCCCCCAAATGTCAGAACAGTACAGATATCCCCCAAAATGTCAGAACAGTACAGATATCCCCCCCAAATGTCAGAACAGTACAGATATCCCCCAAATGTCAGAACAGTACAGATATCCCCCAAATGTCAGGACAGTACAGATATCCCCCAAAATGTCAGATACAGTACAGATATCCCCCAAATGTCAGAACAGTACAGATATCCCCCAAATGTCAGGACAGGTACAGATATCCCCCAAATGTCAGAACAGTAACAGATATCCCCCAAATGTCAGAACAGTACAGATATCCCCCAGGACAGTACAATATCCCCCAAATGTCAGGACAGTACAGATATCCCCCAAATGTCAGAACAGTGCAGATATCCCCCAAATGACCCCTTTTTGCAGAGTAGACAGTCCGACGTACTTCATAAGAGGAATGGCGAGTTTTTTGAAGTTGTATTTTTTTTTGTCATAATTTTTCGGAAAATGAAAAAAAAAAAAAAAAATATTTTCACTATTTTTTTTTACATACTGCCACCAGTGCAGTACAGCGTCATCATATAACTGGCATGGCGGTGATCAGGGACACTGACTGGTGACAGTGTGAAAAAAAAAATATATATATTTTTTTTATTTTTCATTATTTTGAAATTAAATTTTTTATTACATTTTTTTCAAGATTTTATTTTCATATTTCATAGTAACATTGTACTACTTTGGGGAAGAGATCAGTATTTTTTATTTTTTATTTTACATAATTTGCTTATAGCAAAGAATTACTTTGCTATAAGCAAGCATTTACCTGAATGACATCGATTCATTCAGGCTTTTTTTTTTGTGCTTAGCTGTGATTTGGCCACAGCTAATCGCATGACATTTGCATGTGACCTGCAGTGACCATTCACAGCTAGACACTAGTATACAATGGATGGCATGAATGAAGCCATCCATGGTATACAACTGTCATGTGACCTGCTGTGATTGGTCACAGCAGGTCACATAATACCGGCAACGGGGCCGATACTCAGATCTGTCATCGGCCGTGTCCGAGGTACACGGCTGGTGACAGATCGCGCTGCTGCGCGGGCTCTGCAAGCACGCGAACTGCGCATGTGCGGGAGGACGCCATATGGCGGCCTCCCGCAAAGCTAATACATTTTTACGAACGCCCATTCAGCCATAGGCCGGGCATCAAATGGTTAAAGGATAAAGCACTATTTGAACTTTTGTTTATGGGGATTTACGGCTGACCCTGAGTGGTTATCTGGAGGGGGCATCCTTGGAGTTAATCTTCAGCAAGTTGAACTTCAGAGTCCAGTACGTTTGGAACCAGGGGTGGACTGACAACTCATGGGGCCCCCGGGTATTGGGGATCATGGAGCCCCTGTGTCCTTGCCCAAACTCAAAAAAGCCTATGAAAAAGGTACCAGGGGCATCTCATGGGGCCCCCTACTGACCCCGGGCCCTCAGGCAGTGCCCGAGTTTTCAAATGGTCAGTCCGCCCCTGTTTGGGACCAACAGTGCAGTCAGACCAAAACATTGTATAGTGTGAGGTCACACTGCTGGAGGTGAACAGATTTATGGTGGAGGAGAGTTTGCACTTGAATCCTGTGATAGCTGCACTTGGTGGTCGTTATCTCAAGGAGGGTCCACAGCAGAACACCAATTGATTGGACGTTGGTTTATATAATAATATTTTTTTTTTGAGTCACTATTTCTTCTTTTTTAGTTCACTGTCCTGTGTTTTTGGTTTAGTTATATCCTGTAGGGATTGTGCATTTATTGATAATGTAGCGCAGCACTTTCTTTACACTTACATAAGTTCAGTGTGCTGCTCTTTCTCTGCCTGCTGCTGATCCTCCCCCCCCAAGCTCCACCCCCACCTGTTCAAGCTCTTTCTGCAGCTGAGAACAGAGATAATGTGATTACTTATAAAGAAACAAAAAAAAATATATACATTTTTTTTTACTACATATTATTTATTATTTATAAATATTTTTTAACTATATACACTAATGTTTTGCCTTATTTTACTGCTGTTTTACAAGGTGAGGGTTTACATATACAGGTTTACGAATGTAATGCGTTCTCCGGGACGTTTCATATTGCAAAAAATTTGTAAACTGAAATGCGGTTTCCCATAGGAATGCATTGAAAACCAATTAATCTGTTCTGAAGGTCAGAAAAAAGTTAAAAAAAGTTGCTGTCACTATAGGTCGGTGCTGGTTTTTAAATGTAATTACCAGCTTTTTATTTCTTCACTATAGTTCAGAGAATCAGCTGTCACTTTCCCTAAGATAAAAGAAAGAGTTTCATTTTAGTTTATTTCCAGAGTTAAAAGAAACAATGTTTCCTTTTAGTTTATTTCCAGAGTTAAAAGAAACAATGCTTCCTTTTAGTTTATTTCTGAAGTTAAAAGAAACAATGTTTCTTTTTAGTTTATTTCCGGAGTTAAAATAATGTTTCCTTTTAGTTTATGTCCGGAGTTAAAAAAGAAACAATGTTTCCTTTTAGTTTATTTCCGGAGTTAAAAGAAACAATGTTTCCTTTTAGTTTATTTCCGGAGTTAAAAGAAACAGTGCTTCCTTTTAGTTTATTTCTGGAGGTAAAAGAAACAATGTTTCCTTTTAGTTTATTTCTGGAGTTAAAAGAAACAACGTTTCCTTTTAGTTTATTTCTGGAGTTAAAAGAAACAATGTTTCCTTTTAGTTTATTTCCAGAGTTAAAAGAAACAACACTTCCTTTTAGTTTATTTCCGGAGTTAAAAGAAACAATGTTTCCTTTTAGTTTATTTCCGGAGTTAAAAGAAACAATGTTTCCTTTTAGTTTATTTCCGGAGTTAAAAGAAACAGTGCTTCCTTTTAGTTTATTTCTGGAGGTAAAAGAAACAATGTTTCCTTTTAGTTTATTTCTGGAGTTAAAAGAAACAACGTTTCCTTTTAGTTTATTTCTGGAGTTAAAAGAAATAATGTTTCCTTTTAGTTTATTTCCAGAGTTAAAAGAAACAACACTTCCTTTTAGTTTATTTCCGGAATTAAAAGAAACAATGTTTCCTTTTAGTTTATTTCCGGAGTTAAAATAATGTTTCCTTTTAGTTTATTTCCGGAGTTAAAAGAAACAATGTTTCCTTTTAGTTTATTTCCGGAGTTAAAAGAAACAATGCTTCCTTTTAGTTTATTTCCAGAGTTAAAAGAAACAATGTTTCCTTTTAGTTTCTTAACAGAAACAAAGTTTCCTTTAGCTCCAGGGAACGTGCCAGCTCTGTGAGCTATACTGAAGAAAAAAAAAGCCAGAAATTACATTTAAAAATCAGCACCGACATACACTTCATATTGTGTAAAAAAATGTGTAACAAATGTATTATTTTCAATGGATTTTCATTCTTAAACCAAAAATTACGTTAGCCGAAGTGTTTGTAAACCGAGGTCCACCTGTATTTTAAAAGCAAATATTATTTAAAAACATGTTATCTATTGTCTGGTTTCTTCCTCATGTATTTCTCTTCAATCTAGATATGAAACATTTGTTTCTTCAACCAAGCAGCAATATCCTTTCAGACAAGATGGCACGTGTTGATTTGGATGAGACTACACCAGAGATCAGCATCCTCACCGAGGTAACACTCATCCTATTAATATTGACCGGAAGCCGTTGAGTTTAAGGGAAACGGTGTCATGCAAATTGACAAAAAGCTGAGGAGTTTGGACTCTTCTGCATGTGGCCCTTTGGGCGGCTCCTGTCTAAAATGTTTCTAGTATGAATGCTGAGGAGTTAGGGACCTTAGATTGTACCGCCCCTTGAGGGTTAGGGACTGATGGGAATGTACAATAAATTGAAAGCGCGCTATATAATACCTGAAATAAATTAGGCAGAGACCTGTCATCCTGTATATTATACAGTATATAAAACACTGTACAAGAACTGTAATAGGAAATCATTTTTGTTCATACACAGGATTAACAGCAGTTACTTGTGTGTAGCAGAAACGCTACGTGGACCTTTGGGCCATGCAGCCATTTAGGCCTCGGGGGCCCCTTCAGAAATGAAAACACTTAACTTTGCTCATACACAGGACTAACATCTTCAGACCAAAGCTCATCCTTTAGGCCCTGTCACACGAATGGACCGATGTCCATCTTTCAGGCGAACCCGATCAGTCCATCCATAAGATTTTCTACGGACCGGCACCCCTCGCCAGCACCTGATCGGTTCCCCATAACATATCCATGGATTGTATCAGCTGACAATCTGGTGGAAACGAACGAGCGGTCCATTTCCATTCATCCGTCCCATTGAAATCAGTGGGCTGTGTCTGTGTCCGCTCTGCAGCAGCAGAGAGGACAGACCTGTCATTCGCCTGCTCAGCGGGGATCAGCAGGGAGATTCACCCCGTGTGAAAGGGGCCTTTGATCTGCAGATGAATGAACAGAATGATACAAAAGTAACAATAGGTTACCTTGTATCTTTCTGTAGCATCTCACTGAACTCTTACTTTCCTATTGTGGGCTGAAGACTTACAACAGTTCTGTAGACTGAATGGTGTCAGCCCTTCCTAGTTGTCTTTTTCTCAACTTCAGAATACCAGAATGCACACCAAAATTATGATTCTGGTACAAATCATTGGCAAGTTTATTT